CCACACTCTGTGGTGCTTGGAAGTCTTCCATTCCCTCAAGCCCTAGCCTGCCTAGCACTGCAGACCCTATTCTGCACGTGCGATGCAATGTTATTGCACTGTGCTGTGTTGTGCGTATTATTGCACTGTGACCTACGGTGTGTTTCTCTCTCACCGTGTGGCGAACTGAACGTGCATTCTCTCTCTTTCCTGGGTTGAAAAGAAGGCAGTATTTGACTTTTTCTCGCTTTCTCCTTCTCTCGTTCTTTTATCCTTATTCGCTGCGCCCTACACTCCCTGCTGGGCTGCATAAATTAGGCGCCTTCTTCTAACCACTACCCCCCCCCCCCCCCCAGTTCGGCAGACAGAGATGAAGACGACAATAGACCTCTACCGGGGACGTCACCGCGTGACGTCACCGGTGCACGTGCAAGGCGGTGGTTGGCAAAACACTCCTGCCGGTGCCTGTGTGGGTGCAGTCGCTCGTGCTTGGGGCAATTTTTTCTCTTTTTTTTGAAAGCGTAATCTTCATCTTACAGTGGCAACATTAGCTGTGGCATGTGTCAGAGAACATCTAGGTGTGGGATAAAGTGCGTGATGAAATGTTCGCTACGCTGGCCGGCTGGCTGTTTATCTACGAGAAGTGAACACACGTGGCGGTCTGGGCGAGGAACAGCGGCATCTTCTTTGAAAATGTGCAGTGTTGACGGTGACGTGTAGTGTGCGTTAAAAGGCATCGGCAATATTGGTTCATCTTTACAGACGGTAAAATTGGGAATATTGTGCATGGTGTGTGCAGTGTGAATAATGCGATGCGTCCTGTTTGCGAAAACACTGGTATTCGTTGTGGGCCGGTTTTAGTATCAGATTGTCGATATAACTTTACGATCTGACATTTTAGTCAAGGTAAAAAGGCATTTGACGCGATTATCTGTGAGTGGGTACATCTCAACGTATGCGTGGCTTGCAGAAAAATAAAAGTACATGATCTCCTGGTGATATATACGACTACGCATGAGCTATAAGCATGTTGTAGCGTTGCCGAATCTGCATATATGCTTCACCACGGCTATAACTCGTAATATCGGATACCTGATATGTGTTAATGGAAACATCGAAGATTTTGGTTTCTCATCTACTTTGTACTTTTACGACTCGATCCTTGTGAGGTGAAAATGCACGTTAGAAGTTTGTGTATCAGGCCTAAAGGAGCGATAGGTACGAAAACACGTTATAGGTGTCTAATGCAGCAAGATAACTGTGCAAGATAATATTATATATAATATCAAGATGTCGGGTTTTACATAACATAAATTTTTACTGGGTTATTGAGAAACGCAGCGGCAGAACTTCACTTTGATTTTTACGAGGATATGTTAACCTCAGTCTAACCAACGGAAAGAAGTGGTGTTTTTTTTTTTCATTCATCTCCGATGAGACTTTTGGGCAATGAGTGAGAATCTTATCCGTGACTTTGCGCACAGCAGCTCAAAACCATGCTGCCGCCAATGCTGTACCTCGTATTGCACATGCCACGATGGAAATAGAGTAAGTTTACAGCCATGCCATGCAAATATTTTTCAAAGAGCCAGTAATCGTGTACATTCAAAAGGTTCGCTTTCAAAAAAGATCGGATTTTTTATGGCTATCATCTACGTGGGTGAGGCCCACTGCATGTTAGTCGCGTCTCTCAGTACTCTAAACAGTTTCTCCGTCCATCCAACTGCGATGAGCAAATTTCCACACTATGGGCAGTAACCCTTCAGTGACCCCCTTTTCAAAAGCTGTAACTTTAGAACATAGCAATGTAGAAATTTCTGTCGAAAGAATACAGACAAGCAGCTCTGCTATGCACAAAGATGCCACCGGAGGAACTTTCTTGCCAACCAGCACCTATTTCGAGAGAGGGTGTAGGGGGCGGGGTGCCCGCAGTGACGTCACACTGTTTACAAAAAGGGAGAGGTCTATTCCTTTGGACTGCCCTGAACTGAATGGACATGCAGTCTGTCAGTTTACAGTGATCTGCACGGTGGCTTTCCTGTAAGGTTTGTTTTTCAACCAAAAACTCTCGTTCACAGATTGCTTTTCTTTCTCATTTTGAGCCCGCGAGTACAACAAAATGTCACCTCTCCAAGTTTTAGCGAAGGCACACGAGTACAACAAGATCTCAAAAAGGGGAATGGCAAAAATGAAATGAGCGAGAAAAGCAGTCTGTGAACGAGAGTTTTGAAAAACTAACCTTACAGAAAAGCTGCCTTGCAGATTATTGCAAACTGTCCATTGTTTTCTCCTGCAGAGAATTTTAGGAAGACCAGGGCTTAAAACGCGAGCACAGAGACGCTCTGATACAGCTCTCAGAAGCTCCCATCAAGCTTCCATGATGCTACCATCAACATATAGTATTACGCTACCTTTAGTGTGTAAATAGTGTATATAAACGTTCCTCTTATCAGCCCCGGCTACTCTGCTCGATTTCCACCAGAGACTTGGCTAGCTCCTTCGAATACATCACGAGCAAGCGAAATGGCACGGAGTTGTAGAGGCGAAAATGTGCAACATCACATCGCTTTTATTACGTGACATATTCGTTCTCCGCCTCATTCCCCCGCTCGTGTCCGCAGATAACGTTCCAGTTTTTATAGCGAAGACACACCGTTGATTGCGGTCACGTCATTGAATATCAATTAAACAGCGGTTGCATTATTTATTTGCAAATTACTTCACCATAAAGTATGGTGAAGTAATTTATTACTTGGCCACCTGAGGAGCTTTCTAACTTTACTTACTGTTTATCAAGACCTGAATATAATGTTAAGATTTATTTTGTTGATTCTGAGCATTACCTTCGCAACAGAAGTACATCACCACTGCCCGCAACAATTATTATTCATCTTTCCCAGTGCCTGTAGGTCCGTTGAAGTTACGTGATGAAAATATGTTTGCTGGACTACGTCATATATGACATGCCGCTTAAGTGTCTGTCTCCGCGTTATTGACGAATCCAGCCGTCTCTTGTAAACTTTCTGCTGGCAAGTTTTTAAATTTTTATTTTGTTATTTTTAAAACTGGTGGCCTCAGACAAGCTTGATACGCCTCTGCTCACCACTGGATAGCGTTGTTACGCGCGGCGCCTGGGCTGACGGGGGAGAGAGGCGTTCTTTGTTCATCAAACAAGTCACCAAAGGGCTGCCAGCCTACTGTCCGCCGTGTTTTGTCCATCTTAGCCGAGAAGTAAGGTGGCATTCCGACACCATAAGACGTTCGACGAGACGACCACAATGGTTTCTTGGCGTCACAGGTCCAATGTGATGACCACGCCCCAATCAAAGACGTTGACTTGAGCGAGTGTGAGCGGCACCGTCAGAAATGGTGTGTGTGTCCCGTAATTCAGCAGCACATTCTGGACCCATTACCTGATTTAGTCAAAACGCACACTTTATATTGAGCCACCCAGCTCATTCGCAAGAGATCTCTCACCCTGTCTGTACAGAACGTAATAAATCCTCTGTTAAGTTTGCCATCCTACTCCTGAGTGCACATGCGTTTTCTTTTCTGTCTCTCTACACCCCCCTTCTTGCCCCTATTCCTCCACCCCCAGAGCTGGGCAGCAAACCGGATGCCAAGATCTGGTTGATCCCCCAGCCTTCCTTTCTCTCTCTTGCCATATTACTGCCTTGGCATCTTCATCCCGGATATCTGATGCCTGAAAAGGCCGGTATCAACGGAGGTTAAAGAATAAAACAGTTGGTGAATATTTTCTGCAGCATGTTGAGACGCTGCATATGAGTGGTCATCCTCGAAAATCATCAACTTTGACACCACGGACAGGTGATGATATACCCTGAGTAGGTTCGAGCATGTATTATGCCTCGACGCTTTTAATCTCCATTGAACTTCTCCCTTTCGATTTCATCCTTCGGGGCTTTGTGTAGTCCTTCACCTAACGCACTGCATTCGTGCTGCACTGCTACTACTTCATTTCTTCAGTATATACGTCCTGTTTCGGGCACGATCACAGGCTGCCATCTTGGACTGATAATGACGCCGTTTTGCATTCATATAAATATTCGAATAGTGCTACGGTGAACTCGCATGCATCAACACGCTGGGCAAGTACATTCAACGTCGTATGACCATAATGATTGCTAATTACGATAATTGAAAACCAGCAAAAATTGCTTTTAAGCCTAAGATGGCAGCGTCTATGCTTTACTGTAACTGTTACATTTATTTTTTGTCAATTTGTCCAATATATCATTTCATGCAGCGGCCGCAGAACTTGTGCAGCTGTTCATAGTGGTACTCTCGGTCTCTGAAGCTGGATGAAGATAACTAAGAAGCCTGGTTTATACTGGCTACATAAAATGTGAAACGAAGCTATAAATTAAGATGAAAAAGAACAAGACAAATCTGTGAAAAGTCAGTATTGGCGCATAAACGGCGCGCCGATTGCGCCGATGAAAATCATCGGCGGCGGCGGCGGCGGCGCGCCGATCAGTTCGCGTCGGCGGCGGCGGCGCGGTGAAAACTCTCGGCGGCGGCGCGCCGACCAGTCGGCGCACACCTCTACTCGGGAGTCTGAACAACGCCTCCTCTAAACAAATGCCTGGGGAATGGCTCACGCTCCCAGCGGAGTTGGCCTGCCTTTAGTTTTGAGCAAGCGCCGCGCGGTGGCGCTCGCGACCGAGACTGTTATCACGGCAGCGGGCGGTACCAGCCACGGTGGAAGAATCACGGAAGCGGGCGGTACCAGCCACCGTGGTACCAGCTAAGCGTTTTTCATCTGCGGGCCATAGGGACGCGTCAGTCGAAAATTGTTTGAGACCTGCAACTGTGCATCACTGTTTCTGAGGCTATGCAAAGTGTTGCGTTGTTGCACCGTCCGCCACAAGTGACGCTAGCGACCGAGAGCATGTTCAGAATGAAGGAGAGAAAGAGTGTGGCAGGTTTTTTTTTCGTTTCATGCGGCAGGCATCTTCCTAGAGAAGGCGTTGCTTGGAACATAGCCTCCTCTATGCTTGGAAGCACGGTGCTCGGAAGTGTCAGACTGCTGTATCGGACGACAAAACCAGACACGGAACGTCCGAAGCCAAACTGGTAGGTGTTCTGTGTAGGTATTGTGTGGCCAAACCAAACGAACGCGGACTCTCCGGCATCTGCAACTCTTGAGATTTTGTACTGAGGGTCAAGCGCACCTGCAACGCATCGATACGAGCACGGTTTTGGGTTTTTTTGTCTGCCTCGGTGAGTGTGGACCGGTTTAATTAAGTATGTCCAAAAGAAATAGTGTCACTTGTGTGAAGCCATCAGATCCTCCGTTCTTGAAGAAGCTTAAGGAGCGCGTCGGCTACAAAGAAGGTCCTTCAATCGATACGAAGGTGAGAACTGCAGCTGAGAACTAGCGAAGTATCCTTTAACGCTGGATGACTGCATTCTGTTGTCTCCTCCACAGAGGGAACGCCGTCCTGTGGATGATGTAGATCCTGACCTCGATGACGAAAAGCCTGTCGTCGTCGTACTCGAGGCGGGCGATTTGACTGCCGAGGAGGCTGAAATGGTCATTCAAAGCCAAGGTTAGTTGAAATTCAATTTACGTCTTCTGTGTCGCGTTGAATATACGTTCTTGTAAGTTGCATCCTTGGTAAGCAGCTTTACCAACATGCCTGTCTGTCCACCCTTAGAGACTGGAAGGGGAGATATATAATGATTGCGTTTCCTCACTGACTCGGACGCTGCCGTCGCTGAAATGTACATACAATCTTTGCTGGCCAATGCTTTCATTTTTCTTCTCATGGATTCAAATTTTGGCTGCAGAACTGCTCCGACAAATAAGCTGCATACGAACCGGCGCCATTAAAATTTTGAAAGCCGAGTGGTATTTCGCAGAGAATGCACTCTCACTGCGCCAACACCGTGACAATGGTCATTGGTAAATGTCATGATGGTAATCGATGGTAGATTCGACTTTTTGTGACAGCTGTATTTTGAATGTGCTTGCAAACGCCTGCTCGCATGTAGGGCAGTTGGTGAATACGAAGTTTTCGAGAAGGTTCAAAATCGAGAAGGTCTAAACATTCAAATAAAAAATAGCTCTCTCGGAGAGATCAGAGACAAGGCCCAAAGTTTCATCATTTATCACCATTGGTGTTTCAGCGTGATTCTGCATATTGTAGTGTCAGCATTTATATTAATTGCAGGTTTCATTAATGTCACACGGCACATGCACTGTCATTCTCAGCGAATGACATTCATAACAAATGTCATTGCGATCTTGCATTTCGGATCTATACGGCTATGTGAAATTACATTTGCAATCGGTGTCAATGCTTATTCACAGGCTGCTATGATACCGAAAAGTTACAAATCGTGCATTTAGTTTATGTAACATTGTCCGGCTGATTCGAAATATACTGCGACACGATAAAACAGCATCAGTGGAAAAAAATCCTTGTACAAAACTAAAGCAAGACCAGCTTGAAGCCGCTCACCCCTTCCAGTCTGCAATTTTTGGGAGTGGGACAGCGTTTATGAATTTGTGACTGGGATGAATGATAATAAGTACAAACTTTAATTGCTTTCCACCTGTTGCAAATAAAGCATGAGAATTGACTGAAGCAGCTCAAACTTGCTATTGAAAAAGATCACAGACGACGAGGAATTAGGAGCTGCGCCTACATGCCAATACTTTTACTTTGGCAGCTCTTGGGGCATCAAATTTGTTGGCAATTAATAGAGAACTGTGGTGCTTCCCAAGAAAGGAAAATGGGTTTGAAAACACTTTCCTAAAGCTGGTGCCCAATGTGTGCGTGTGTGTTCTGCTACTAGCGAGTGCCACCGTGGCGTGCTTTGCCAAAACCAGAGTTTCTTATAAATACACTAGTGGTAACTCTGGCGCTAGTGTCTATGGGAGCTGCAACGTACAGCACTTCAGGGAGCATGGTTATGGTGGGCAGTAGACGAATTAGTCTAATCTTCGTTCTTCTGGCTCTGTTTGGCTCCACGTGGTTTTAGTTGCTTTGTCACAAAACAAAAACTATCAAATTTTCAACAGTTGCACTTCACCACTTTTATCTTTTAGGCTCACTAATTCAAGTCGAGTCATGAAGTTCAAAACGATTTGTTTTTTCGTTGGAAACAAGACTTAAACACTGCAATAAACAAAGGCAGAAGATGTTCGGAGCCTGTAAGCATGAAGACTAGGCAAATTCTTGTACCACCCTTCATTCCCATGGTCGCTGTACGATCACAGCGCCAGAGTTCCATCTAGTTAATTATAGCAAACTCATATGGCCAAAACAACACAGAGCGTTTGTAAACATGGCTGACAGGAGGTGCTAGCGTCAAGTTGGAGTCTAGGAAAGAGAATATAGCTCCACAAATTGCTTCCACTATTGCGTTTTACGTTGAAAGTTACATTAAAGTTATCAACAACCTTTAATGTACATCTAAACATTGTTTACACTTGCTTTAAGATATCAATTTTGTAATCTCTTATCAAGTGCCTGTTGACAAGATTACATAAGTCGCGCTTGCATGACTTCGGTGAACACATTCAACGGGAAAATGACATTACAGGTGCCGTGTGACAGGGGTATAAAATAGGCACCCACCGGGCTGATTTTTTTCTGAGGATGAACAAAAAGCATTGCGTGCATAAAAGAGCATGCATGGGGCGAAGCAGGTGGAAAGCCATCATCATAATCTGTGCCTTGACGATGTTGCTTGGTTACATTACTGGTTTTGAAAATGAAAATAAAACTGCTTCAATTTAACTGAGGGTTGCACGGTGGTGGAGCCCCCGAGATGGTGCCAGCATTGGAATAGCAGGGCATCCATCTTGATGGCTCCTGCACAGACTTTCAACCTCCTTCTAACCATACACACTGCAGTGTCATGCACATTGTCCTGCGCACAGCCTCTCATCGCTATTTCAACAGAACCAATAAAGCACCACACCAGAGAACATCTGCAGCACCATGGACCACAGAGATGAAGGCGTGAACCCAGCTAGCACCCCAAATGGATGAACTCACTTGCAACTCTCCTATAACAAAACACATGAAAATTGATAATCATATGTTGCTATTGCTTACGATAAGACATAATATTAGCACATCTCTAATTTGTTCTATGTCGGTGGAAAGAAGTAACCCTCAGTTAAAAGGGTGGTGCCACCATATTTGTGGCTTGCGCGTTCTTTGCTGCAAGCTTTTCTTATAACTTCAGGAAGCATGATAACGCACCAAGATTATTTATTCTGGCTAAATAAAACAATTGCCTTTTTAAAGGATAATTTTTGGTTTCAGTTTCTGGGCGCCGAATTAGGCTGTGACATGGTAGTGTGGGTGGCTTGGTCACATGACCACACAAGAAAGTGACGCACGTCATGCTGATTATCGTCTGCTCTTGCACAGACATGCCACACATCACCTGCATAACAAACGAGCAGCAGAACTTAGCGGAGGTGTCCGGAGGTTCGTCACCTCACTACAATAGGCGTGCACATGGGAAGGTGGTAAGGGAGAAATTCAAACACAGCTCTCTTGCACTGACATAATAGGGAGGGGGTGCTGCAACTTGGGGGAGGAGGTGCAAAGTCATCCCTGTACATTGACATAACAGGGAGGGAGTGAGCTGCGACGAATCTTTGTCCTTGCTGAAGGGGAAACCTGCTCCCGTCTAAGCTCACTACAGATCTGGTGTGACGTCACTGCAACTTTCGTTTCCCTTTCTACAGAGCTACGGAAGTTCTGGACGCACTTGCAATGGGCTTTGGTCGGGAAAATGAGCATTTAGGTACACTTTTTAGGTGAATTAAAGTATATTCTAAACGTTGTGGGGGTCTCGATATGGCGAGTGCCGGGCTCTTGGAGTGAACGGACACAGCAGATGCGGTCGGTACAAACCAAGCAACATACATTTATTTGACTAATTTATAACGACGATATCGTCCGCTGAATGATACATCAATTGTAATTAACATGCTAGGACATCTTTACAGACAATTTCCATACACTCCAAAACATGACAAAAACACAATAACACGATAAACACACAATAACATACCTAAAGCAGTGTCGCCAACGTTTGACTTGCCACGTGGGACCCCGGCGCGAAGCCCGCGGTGCCGAGCACCGGGGACCCACGCTACAGACAACCGTTCACGGCAACCGCCACTGTTACAGATGGGAAGGAAGGGCGCTGATGGCATCCCACCGCTGCCACCAGTTGTTAAAGTTGACGAAGGAGGAAGCAGGTCGTTGGAGGATGCGAAAAACAAAACGTGGTTTATGACATTATTTACACATATTTACAGAAAGGAACAGGTTAGTGGTTTCACAAACCACGAGCGTGGTGGTTGAACGTTACATAGTTCAGAGCCCGATGTCCAGCACTCTGCCGCGTCGTTTTATGCCCTGTCGGGCTCCTCCTCTCCGAGTCGAACACCAATCACGCACACACAGGTGAGGGGGGCGAGCATGCACGGTCCACGTGAACACTGCACTGTGGTGGCGCCAGCAGGGCTCTTCCTCGTCGTGGGTGTGCCGCTACTCGAGAGTTCCCACGATACTGGCAGCATACTTCAAAGGGTCCGCCGATTTTGTTCGCTCAATTAGCGGGGTGATTGGCGGTGGCCGTCGGTCTCCTCCAGGAAGATGCTGTCTTTGTTGGCCTCTCTCGAATGGTTAGCGGCGTCTTGGCGACACGACGTCTCGTCCTCCGGCTAGCACGTACAATGCCTGACGAGCATAGGCAGTCGGCCGGTCGGCTTGGTGATTGGGGATCAAAAGGGAGCGCCGCTCCTCTGTCAGCTCCGGCGCCGGTCACGCCAGCCCTCCTGTCGCCCGACGAGTCGACGAGGCCATCAGTCACGCTGCTGCTCGAAGGGACGACCAAAGGGTCCGCACTTGAAGGACGGGACTCGCCTCTGCCCGCCGCCTGGTCTGGATAATCACTCAAATACTTGACAGCGTCCGTCAGACTGGGCGCCGAAGGGATTGAGAGATGAATCCCCAGGCCAAACCTAACAGCTCCTCCGCCGCCCGGAAAATCTCGGCTGGCCAGCGCTCCCTACCGCTGGGCACGAAGAGAATGGTTGGTGACGAGGACGATGGCCTGGCTTTTCTCTCTCCAGCTGCGAACTCGAAACCAACTCCCAAAACAGCTCACAAAGGTTGACAACAGCAAGGCGAACCACACAACACAACACCATGCCGAAGTCAAGCACTTTGGACCCGCTTAAAACCCTCCAGGCTTCTCAAGAAACACAAACAAAAGAGAAACCTGTACGCTAAAATTTTGAGACAATTTTGTGCCGCCAAAGTTACAACAATCATGGACGTGGAGATGCTTACCAAAGATGGAATCAATTGCTGTGTGAGAAAAGCACACAAAGGCAAACATAATTTGGCCCCCTATAACCGTAATCTCATTTTTACAAAACTAGCATTCTCCTGTCGTCTGCCCTACAATGTTGTAACGAATCTGATAACTAATCATTAACTCAATGAAACACCACTATCTCCAATGGTTTCACAGGAATGCTGCCTGTACCTACAGAAAGTAACTGTGC